ACGGCTCTCGCAGCTCTCTTGGGCTGTTCGGGCTGTTCTTCGAGCCTCGTCGAGGTCTTCTTGGGGCCTCTCAAGGATCGGGGGTGTGTTGGGAGCCTCTGGGGGTCCCGGAGGCCTCTCGGAGGTCTCTGGAAGCCTCTTGCTCCCGCTCTTGGGCCTGTTCTGGGGTAGTCTGGGGCTGTCCTGGGCTCCTCTTCGGCAGTCTTGGAGCCTTCTTGGCCCGTCTTGGGGCCGTCCTGACAGTCTGTTGGGTGGTCTTGGGGCGGTCTTGGGAGCCTCGTCGGCACTCTTGGACCGCTGGAAGCTCGAAAACACGAGAAGCCAACAACAATGAAGAAACACATGAAAATCATCGATTTTGGCCTCTTTGGGCCGTCCCGGGACGCCTCTCGGACCTCTCTTGGGGTCTCTTGGAGGCCACCTGGGAGCCTCGAGAGCCGTCGGAAGGCTGACTTGGGTTGCTTGGGAGCATCTTGGGCCATCCTTTCGCATTCTGGGGGCTCCTGGGAGGCGTCTGGGGCCCTCCTGGAGCGCTGTGGAGGCTCCCCAGAAAGGCTGGGGGAGCGGTACAAGGAGCGTCCCCGAGATGTCACGGGGAGGTGTGGGACCAGGGGCCGGCATTGATCATTATTGTTCTTCTTCTTCTTCTTCTTCTTAGTAATATTAATAATACTAATGCCAATAATGCTAATAATAATAATAATAAAAGCAACAACAACAACAATAATAATAATAATGATAATAACAACAATAGTAGCAATACTACTACTACTATCATTATTATCATTATTATTATTAGTATTGTTATTATTATTCTTACTACTACTAATATTATTATTATTATTATTATTATTATTATTATTATTATTAATATTATTATGACATCGGAGAAAACCCAATCAGGGCTATAGGGTTAGGGGGCTATAGGGCTATTGAGCTATAGGGCTATAGAGCTATAGGGCTATAGAGTTTTAGGGCTATAATTAAGGCTATTGGGCTATGGGGCTGTAGAGCTTAGGGCTATAAGGCACCCCCGGGCAGCCCCGGGCACGCCCGGGCACGCCCGGGCACCCGGGCACCAGGGCATCCGGGCATCCGGGCACCCCCGGGCACCCCCCGGGCACCTCCCGGGCACCCGGGCCCCGGGTACCCCCGGGCACCCAGGCGCGCAGCGAAAATCGGCGACAAACCTAGGCAAGCTCTGATTGGGGAATGATATATTTGTATGTATATTCGCCGGCCCAACGGGCCAGAGGCGTGCTAAGATCTCTGGTAACTGGTAAACAGTATTTCTAGTTCGCGCGCGCGGGGCGGCCCCAAAGTACCCCGGGAGGAGCCCGGGACACGCCCGGGACACGCCCGAGACACGCCCGGGACACTCCCCCAGATCCTCCAGGATCGCCCCAAGAGGGCCCCAAGAGGCCCCCAACACAATCCAAGAGAGGTCTGAGACGCCCGAAGATCGCTCCACGGCGCCCAAGATGGCCTCCAGACGGCCCAAGACGTCTCCAAGATGACCCAACAAGCCTCCAAGATGCCCCAAGAGGCCTCCAAGAGAACTCCCAAGAGGGCCCAAGAGGCAAACACCTGTGCTTTTCCTTTGGTGTTGGACAGATTTGGGCGTTTCAACCTTTTCGGTTCCCCGACACCCCTAAACGGCTCAAGAGGCCTCCAAGATCGCCCCAAGAGGGCCCAAGAGGCCCTCAAAAGGGCCCCAAGACGGCCCAAGACGGCTCCAAGACGGCCCCAAAGGCCTCCAAGACGGCCCAAGAGGGCCCCAAGAACGCCCCCAACACGGTCCAAGAGAGGTCCGAGACGCCCGAAGATCGCTCCACGGCGCCCAAGATGGCCTCCAGACGGCCCAAGACGTCTCCAAGATGACCCAACAAGCCTCCAAGATGCCCCAAGAGGCCTCCAAGAGAACTCCCAAGAGGGCCCCAAGAGGCAAACACCTGTGCTTTCCCTTTGGTGTTGGACAGATTTGGGCGTTTCAACCTTTTCGGTTCCCCGACGCTCCTAAACGGCTCAAGAGGCCTCCAAGATCGCCCCAAGAGGGCCCAAGAGGCCCCCAAGGGGGCCCCAAGACGGCCCAAGACGGCTCCAAGACGGCCCCAGAGGCCTCCAGGACGGCCCAAGAGGGCCCCCAAAACGCCCCCAACACTACACAGCTCCCGACGCCGCGGCTCCACACTGCAAACGACCACTCGGACAGGCGACCACGGTGCGACATTATGGGCCAGCAAATGAGCGAAGCGATTAAATAAACTCATTTGTAAATTATGTGCGCCTGCCGGCGTTACTTGTGTATATATATATATATGTATATACACAATATCGGCACATGCAGAACTCACACACAAACATTTGAATACATGAGCGACGCCTCGTTGGCGCTTCGTGCCAAGAGCATTTTTTCCCAACCCTCCTTGGTTGGATATTCGTTTTGAATAGAGCAGTGTGGTCTCCACTCCTTTCTTCCTTCCCGTCCCGCCTCCCTCTTGCCTCCTCCTGTCTTGCCTGCGGGGGGCTGCGATCTGTGAAACTGTCGCCACTTTCGAAGCCTGCTGGGGGGGCCCAGCGCAACGACGCCACACGCAGATTCAAATTAGACCTCGCCATCCCTGGGGGGGCTGCGATCTGTGAAACTGTCGCCACTTTCGAGGCCTCCTGGAGGGCCCAGCACAGTGACGCCACACGCAAATGCAAATTAGACCTCGCCATCCCTGGGGGGCTGCGATCTGTGAAACTGTCGCCACTTTCGAGGCCTGCTGGGGGGGCCCACCACAGCGACGCCACACGCAGATTCAAATTAGACCTCGCCATCCCTGGGGGGCTGCGATCTGTGAAACTGTCGCCACTTTCGAGGCCTGCCAGGGGGCCCAGCACAGTGACGCCACACGCAGATTCAAATTAGACCTCGCCATTCCTGGGGGGCTGCGATCTGTGAAACTGTCGCCACTTTCGAGGCCTGCTGGGGGGCCCAGCACAGTGACGCCATGGGCAGATTCAAATTAGACATCCATCCCTGGGGGGGTTGCGCTCTGTGAAAATGTCGCCACTTTCGAGGCCTGCGGCGGCGGCGGCGGCTGCGGCGGCTGCGGCGGCGGCGGCGGCTGCGGCGGCTGCGGCGGCGGCGGCGGCACGGCGGCGGCGGCGGCGGCACGGCGGCGGCGGTGGCGGTGACGGCAGCGGCTGCGGCGGCGGAGGCGGTTTGGCAGCGGGGGGCGGCGGCGGCGGCGGCGGCGGCGGCGGTGGCGGCAGCGGGCGGCGGCGGCGCGGCGGCGCCGGCTGCGGCGGCGGCGGCGGCGGCGGCGCGGCGGCGGCGGCGGGCGGCGGCGTGGCGGCGGCGGCGGCGGGCGGCGGCGGCGGCGGCGGCGCGGCGGCGGAGGCGGCGGCGGTGGCGGCGGATTGGCCCCCAGTAGCTACCCATCCAAAGACGACTGCTGAATATGCTGAGGCTCGGGCCAGACTCGGGTGCTACGTATGTGTTGGGAGGGCGGGTGGGAGTGAGCGAGACGGCTTGCGGGCGGGGAGGGGGTCTTGACCCCTCCCCCTACCCCCTCCCCTGGACCTGGACGGGGCGCCCCGCGAGCGGTCAGGGCGTCCAAGATGGCCCAAGATGGCTCCAAGCGGGCGTCAGCTCAAGATGCGCAAGATGGCTCCCAAGATGCTCCAAGACGCCCCAAGACTGCCCCAAGACGGCTCTAAGTTGCCAGACGAGCTCTCCAAGGATGCCCCCAAGAGGCCAACATCCTTCAAAAACCTTTGGACAATCAGTATTGTTGGCTTTCTCGCCGTTTCGCTTCCGATGGCCATTCGAGGCCTTAAGATAGCTACAAGATGGTCCAAGAGAGCCCTAAGAGGGGCCCAAGGGAGCCCCAAGACGGGCCCAATAGCGCTCCAAGAGCGCTCCAAGAGCGCCAAAAAAACGATCAAAAAGGCGACTTGGGGTGCTCCCGAGGAGAGAGGCTAATTCAGGGAGCCCCCTTCTTTGATCGATGTCCTCCAAGATGGCCCCAAGAAAGGCCCCCTAGAGTCCCCCAGGATGCCCCCAAGAGGACCCCAAGCGGCCCCAAGAGGCCCACCCAAGACGCTCAAGAGACCCCAAAGACGTACCAAGAGGCCCCCAAGAAGCGCCCAAGAGATATCCCAAGATGCTCCGAGAGGCATCCAAGAGACCTCTGGCCCTTTTGCTTGCCCTCCTCCTCCTGCTCCTCATTCCTCCTCCTACTCCTTCTCTTCTTCCTCCTCCTCCTCCTCCTCCTCCTCTTCCTCCTCCTCCTCCACCTCCTCTCCTCCTCCTCCTCATCCTATTCATCCTCCTTCTCCCCACCTCCTCATCCATCCATCAAGCCTCCTCCTTTCCTCCGCCCTCCTTCGCACGGTTCGGCCGTCCCCCTCTTTGCTCCCGCACTTCCCTGATCACCTCAACTCGCCTGGACATCGCTTCTGGATGGGCTGGCGGGGATACTTTTTTGATCGCGACCGCGGCGAAAGCAAGTCGGGCGGCGTCCAGGGCACTGCAATCAAGCAACGGCCTAAATTAGCGCGAGGAAGGAGAAGGGCGAAAGATGACAAACTAGCGGGGATACGCGAAGCGTCTAGAATTTATGCTTATGCACTTGCTCCCCTTTCGAGGATGGGGGAGGGAGGGGCGGATGTGCCTGCTCAGGGACCCTGGGGAAGAGCGGCATCAGGGGGCTGCGGGGAGGCCAGATCCAGGCGCGCGGGCCAGTGCCCCGAGGACCCCAGCGGGCCCGCAGCAAAGGTCACTCTGGCGAAGGGTCACTCTTACGCGTGGCCGAGTGTGGGAGGGAATTGGAGGCGCGCAGAGGGGGGTAGGCAGGGGGAGGGGGGAAGGCTTCTTAGAACCTGGCTGCTTCTTAGAAGGCACCGGCCTTACATATACAGAAAGGCCCGCGCCTTCTAAGAAGCAGGGGTGCTTCTAAGAAGCCTTCCCCCCACCCCCTTCCCCCCTCTGCGCGTGGCCGAGAGAAGGCGGCCGGGCAGGCGCAGATGAAAATGGGGGGAGCCCTGCCGACAGCCGCGCCCGGTGGAGGCAGGAAGCGGACCCGCAGGCGCTGGCACGGGCACGGAGCGGCACGGCGGCCGTGGCCGTGCTCTGCCGGGCCCCGCGCCCAAGTGGAGCCCCGCGAGGGTCCCTCGCTCGGACGTTCATTCCCCGTGCATTTTTCGACTCCGTGCGAATGTTTTTCGGAAGACGATCCATGATGCGCCTCGCCGGGGGGAAACAACAGTACACACGCCCGAGCGATGCCACAAGATTCCCCACGCCCCCGCAAATCCTGGCATTGCATTTTTTTTACAGCGGGCGTTTTCGGCCGGTTGCGGCCCCCGGGGGACCCTCCCAGATCGAGCCGCCTCGAACGGTGGCGCAGAGAGATGGGGTCTCGGGCTCCAGTCGTGATTTGTTGTCCTGCTTGAGCGTTTCTGCAACGTCAGATCTGAAGGTTGCACCTTCGGGGGGCCTCGTGTGCCCCATCGCGCCAAATATCCGTGTCGAGACGGCCCTATCTCCCGCGTCTTCCTTCCGCTAGCTGTCTCTCCCGCGCCGTGCCACCCGTTCTCGGCACAAATGTCGAACTCGCGTCGAGTCCGCGTCAAATCCGCGCCGAGTCCGCGTCGGGTACACGAAGCAGCCGCAGCCTGCAGGACAGGCGAGGCCCCTCGAAGGTGCAGCGTGACGTCCAGGCGCCGCCTCAGCCGCCTCGGCCACACTGCCTATTTCCTCAGAAGAACAAAAAACATAAACATGCATTCTCGGAGGCCCGCGCGGATTTCTTGGATCGGGCCTCCGAGAACTTATGGCGATGCATATCTTTTGTTCTTCGATTCCTGTTCTTGTTGTTCTCCTTCTCATCGAGCCTCTCCAGCCCGAGAACCTTGGTCATCCAGAGGTCCTTGAAGGTAGTCAGCCCCTCGCGTGGCGGGAGGCCAGGACCAAAAAGGGGCGGAAGCGGAAGCGCGCCTAGAACGTCCCAGGAAGACGACCCTACTTACGTGGGGGTAGGCGGTGGCGCAACTCTGGTCGCTTTTGGCCTCTCGGTGCGCTTCCCTGGCCATGGGACCATCAGGATGCGCCCCGCAGATACAAAAGAAGTCCCGAAGATAGCCTCCCAAGGTTCCCTTCTGAGCCCGTCTGGCGTCTGAGCCTATCCGGATGCCGAGTGGACTTAAGATCGAGCCAATTCGGCGGCCGAGCTGGCTCAACTCTGTCGACCCTTGTCAGGGATGAGCCTGTCCATCTGCCCACTCGGCAGCCGAACCGGCTCAGAGGTCGAGCGGGTTCAGAAGGGAACCTAAGACATACGATGTTTTTTTCAATGCGCGGCACCCGGGATCTCCACACCTTCCACCGTTTTGCTTTTTGCCATGTATCCGTTTTCGATGGCCTCCAGGGGCCCGATAAGGGGGCCCCTGGAGGCCATGATTGAGGAAAATCCGTCAGGGCCCGATTTGTCAAAACAACTGAAACATTCAAAGCGAGCGCGGCAACGGTAGTGGACACGATGGGTGCGGAAAGGCGGGTCACCTCAGCAGAAGGTCCCGCGCATCGTTCGGCCCTTCCCTACTGCAACAAACTGAGAAAGACCATGCGACGAACAGTCCACTCATGAATACCTGCGGCTGGGGAAGGGAAAGGGGGGACGAGGATGATGGAAGAATACGTTTAACCCTTCCTGCCCATCACAATCAAGGAGTATGGTGAAGGAAACGTTGGAGGCGACTGGGAGATCTGAACTGGATAAATCTCAGGCAAATCGGTCAAGAAGGGGTGATAATAAAAAATCCGCTCAAAATCGGTCTTCTGTCCCGTGTCCCCCATCACAACCAAGGCTCGCATGGTAAGGGAAACGCCTGTACCGAAAACTCAATCCGCCACCATGCCTGCACAAGGTGGGCGTGTCAGTTCGATTGCTTGTCTGTTGTCTGAATGGTCTTGGGAACTTTCTAAGGCCGCCACCCCACCTTGCATCGCAACCGTCCCTCTGAGAGCCCCGCCAATTTGCGTTCCGGCGCTCTTTCGGCCCCTGGACGGCCAAAATGGCCTCCAAGGCGGCTCCCAAGACAGTGAATATGACACCAAGAGGGGCAAACATGGCCCAAGACGGCTCAAGAGGCTCCCAAGACAGACTCTAGACAGCTCAAGAGGCCCCTGAGACAGTCCAAGAGGGGCCCTCCTGGAGAGCCCGAGGAAACCAACCCAAATACTCCCTTTCCGAAGGGGCTCGCTTGCGGGAAAAGGGCTTCGGGGGTGTGTCAAGGGGTTCCATGTGCTCTGGGGCGCAGGCGCTGGATGTCCTTCCCAGTCGGGGTGTTTGCCGTCCCCGCGCTGCCGCTGGCTTGACTTTGGGGAGGGCGAGCCACCCACCCTCGTCCACCTCTTTAAACGCCAGCCGCAATCCACCTCTCTTCGGGGAAGGCTGATTGGTTGTCCAACACAACCAGTCAGCTGGCCTGCGGCTTACTTGGCGCACCCACCGCGGCAGGTATGCCGACCTCTGGTGGTAGAAGAAATGGAGGTTCCTACATGTCCTCTTCTGCCGGCCCCCCCTCGTCCTCTCCTCCTTCTCCAAAGATTGGGTGGGCGATATGTGGGAATGTTTCCGTCTACGGGCGCGCCTTCCGAACCATTGATTTGCCAACAATTAGTTTTGTAGATTTTGAGGTTCTCGCCTGATCAGGTTTCCGACCGCCCAAAGCGGCCCAAGACGCCTCCAAGCGGCTTCCAAGAGGCTTCCAATATAGCTCCAAAGCAGCTCAAGAGACGCCCAATAGGGCCCCGCGTCGGCCCAAGAGGACCCATAGAAGACGGGCCTGAAGCGCTCCAAGAGGGCACCCGGACGACCCAGGGAAGTCCCCCAAACGGCATCCGAAGGCGTCAAACGGGACACCGCTCTCCTAAGACGGCCCAAGAAACTCGAGAAACCTAAGAGGCCCTTGGGAGGCTCCCACGAGGCCACCATGAGGCCCCACGAGAACCCCAAGAAACCTTTTCCCTTGTCGTCCTCATGGTCTCCTTCTCCACCTCCTCGTCCTCCTCCTCTTCCTCCTCTCCTCCTCGCCTTGCTCCTCCTTCTCCTGACGGTGACGATGTCGAGTCAGAAAGAGCGTGGCCCATCGCCGCTTTACTATGGAAAATACCCCCCCTCTTCCTCCGGAAGCTACGGCCCCGCTCCCCTCCCCTTCGAAAATCCCCCCCCGCGCTTGCTCGCCCCCCCCCTCCCCCTCCCTTCTTCGGGCCCCCCCCCTCGAACCCCTCCCCCCCCCCCCCTCTCCGGAAAACCGGGGGGGTCACTACTGGTTCGACCCCCCCCTTCAGAAAACCGGGGGGGGGGGGTCGCTATCGGTTCGAAACCACAGCCCCCTCCAGAAAACGGGGGGGGGGGTCACTACCGGTTGGACCCCCCCCCTTTCACCGCGGGCAAACGACTCCCTGGTCCGTGGTCCCGACGATGCCGACGCGGTGCCGACGATGCCGTCCGTGGTGCCGACGATGCCCCGTCAGGGAGGGCTCCTCGTTTGTCCTCGACCGCGACGGCCCCGCCATTCCCAGACGCTGACGAGGATGCCAGCGGGCGCCACGCTGGCCGCATCAGGACCCGAAGCCGATGAGAATACTGCCGCACGAAGCCGAAGTGGGGCACGAGCTGATGGCACCCTCGGGGCAGAAGCTGGCAGGCGCGCGCCCAGCCTCGGCCTGGACGCAACTTGACGTAGCTCTCGCGCAATCCACGGCCGCGCCGAAAAATGTACAGGTATATGAATGCGAAGATGGGTGCGGAGAGCCTCGGTGGAACCAAATGCTAACGGAGGTGACGGCGGTGGTGGTGACGTCGCTGAAGGCTGGGCTCGGATCGGTGTAGTTTTGCTTCGGATTCGTGCACGATTCGATTAACATGTCGGTCTTGCTTTCAGCTTGGGATGACCTAGATATGCTTGCTGCGGTAATGGTTGAGCTGCATTATGTGTGGCGTATGGCGTGGGTGACATATCATCGTCTGCCGTCTGAGACGACGCTGATAATAATGGTGGTGAGGTCCTTGCTGCTGCGGATGATGGTCGTTTGGTGGCTGTGCGGATTGCTGCAGTCTGGCTCGCTCTTGTAAGTGCTGCTCGTGCCACTTTTGCCGTTTGAGATGGCGCTGATTGTGGCGGTGGTGAGGTGCATGCTGCTGATGATGATAAGAGTTGTGTGGCTGAGCAGCTGGCTGCGGTCTGGCTCGCTCTTGCAGGCGCTGCTAGTGCCGCTCCCCCGAGGGCCCCAGAGGGAGGGGGGGGATCATGTAATGCTTCTTTGCAGACCGGGCACTCAAGGCAGTCGGGAGGTCTGCGCTGCCACAGCTGCGCCGTACTCTGGCGGACGCAGCGACGGATTGACCACCCGCGTAGAAAGTGGCGCGAACAATGATCGCGACTGCGAAACACCGCATGGCATATGAAGCATTTGTTGTCCACGACAAAAACACTGAAGACGCTGCGCATCTGATGGCTGGGATCCTTGCTGTGAGTCTGATGGGCATGTGGCGCAGCCAGACTAGCGAAGGTCCGGCCACATTTCGATCATCCTTCCACTCTATCTCGCACGTGCGGAGCTTGTCGCCATCGATTCCCGCGATCTCTTCCTCCAGTGGCATCCGGTCCTCGAGCGCCGTACCGCGTGGGTGCTACTGAGGGACAAACACAGCCCGCAAGGTGCGCGGATCTATCGCAGTGTAGATGTCACGGAGCTGCTCGTCTTCCAGAAGCCTATTGATGCCCCTTGGATGCCGCGTGTCACTCAGCTCGATCGCTAAATCGATCGCGAGAAGAATTTCGATGTCCGAGTGCAGCTGCTTCGCCCATGGGTGGATGGGTGCGTTCGCGTTGATCGCGCCGTTATCGTCAAAGATCGGCACCTTCACGTTAGCTGCCCCTTTTCAGCGCCACGTTGCCGGAACAAAAACCAACCAAAAAGTGAATGTACTGCGGGGCGTCCGCGAGTGCGTCGCGCCGCCAGCAGAGCCGTCTTACAATGGGTTCCAGCGCGACGGGCGTGAACTTCCAATATCGCCAGACGTCGAGGGAAGGCCAGGACCGATGGACACCGTTGGCCTCGGAGCGCGCGCGGCCCTGGAGCATGGGGCCAAGCTCCCCGATCAGGCTGGAATCGAACGCCTGTATGTCAGCCTTAGTAAACATGTGGCTTTCACCGCCAGGGGTGGCAGCGCTGTGCGCGCATCCTCCGAATTGCAGACGTTTAGGTTTTCATCCTGCGTCAGAGTGCCAACATCCACTCCACGGATTCCAGGCTCTATTGATGGCGAGGAGACGTTCGCGTCGTTCAGCAACGTTACCCCCGGAGGCAGAGAACACGCCGCCAGCTCGGGCATCAACTTGCCGACAAGGCGGCGATCCTTGGCGAGCTCGTGCGCAATGCCTCGGCGGGATGCGGCGACGACGATCTCGGCCTTCGTGCGATTCTGCTTGTGCTCTTTCAGTTCGCCACATGTGTCCAAGCATTCGGAGTCGAGGTTGCAAATGTCGTGGACCTCGCCTGCTGTCGCCTCCGGGGGGAGGGCCAAAAGCTTCAATGAGCCGTTGATGAATAGGGCCACACCAGCGCCGATGGCGTCGTGGAAAAGGCCCGGCGCCGCCAGGGTGTACTTCCATCGCCCGCTGGCAGTGGCAATATCTTCAGATATACCTCCGTAAGAATTGTCCATGAAGAACTCAGGCTGGTTGCTATCACCCATGAGGCCGCCGCTGCCAGCCTTGAGGTATATCCATCCCTGCGGTGATCGGATTCGCAGGACTGCATGGCAACGTCGCTGGGAGGTGAACTCCATGCTGCTTTCGACGCGCGTCCCCATGTCTTCGGGTTCTCCTTGCTCGATGTAATTCTGTTGGACGCGGTTGCCCGCAATAAGCAAACGGT